GAGAGAGAGAGAGAGAGAGAGAGAGAGACTTGCCACCGTAGTATCTGCTTGGAGATTGCGCTGCGCCATCCAAATCTCGCGAGATGTGCAACGAGACGAGACGGCACGAGACACATTTTGGGGAGTGGCATGGCAGAAGAAAGCGGAACTGAACGTAAATATTTGGAAATATGAAGGAAAGGTTACCAAGTTACACTCGCCTATAGTGATCGACAGCAAAACCATTGAACGTCTGAGCGTAGCAGCGATAACAGGTAAGGCACAGAAAACGTTTAAAACACATGCATATTGTTACGTTACGGTGCAAGCTCTAGCTACACAGTGCACGGGGAGATCGGGTTGTCAACTGGTTGTTAACAGAAAGATATCATACATGTGTCGGGTTTTTAGTACTGATAATCCCTACATTAGAACCGACGAAAGGCCAAAAATCGGGCCGAATCAATGGAGTCCGCCCATTAGTTTCCCGGCCGTTTTCCGACACATACACGACGAACGTCGGCCACGTATCGGTTTCCCCCATAGGTCACCAGAGGTCATAATATAATATGCGTTACATCCTGATTACCCAAATAAATGTAGCATAGGTTAGTCATATGAATTAGGCATTCGATTCAATTTTTTTTTTTGCTTGTTGATTACTATTAATATAAGCTTTGCCTAAATACAAAATACAGTCAACTGATATCGATGATAATGAAGACCATTGAAATGGACACTTTTGAAACACTTGAAAACTTTTAGCCTGATTAAAATTACGGTTGCCGGCCGCCCTGCGGGAAGGGGCCACTAAAGCTGCGGACGGCAGTGTTTGCGTTACACAGACTAGAAAACTTTAGGTTGACCAAGTTTACCGCCTTCTTCGCAGATTGGTGTGGCGGCGCCATTGTTTTTGGGGTGGGCCGCTGATCAACACGAGTATCGCCGCCCAACAAACTCCCTCCGCGGGCAAACTCCCTCCGCGGGCAAACTCCCTCCGCGGCCAAAACCCGCATCGATCAGCTTCCCCCAACCCCCGAAAAAATAATGCCGCCGCCGCACTGGTCTGCAAAGAAAGCCAAGAAGCAGCACAGATTTCAGGATATTATTTGAGAAATTCGTATTAAGCGTCACTTTTTACCTCAAAGCGTCATTGAACTGCTTTAGTGGCGGTGGCTTTCAAGAATATCAGATTACACCGAAGGGCGGTGACGCAGAGCAAACCAGCACTGCAGCAGCTCTGTGAACGGCAGATCGACACAAAAACGAACCTACCTTGCCTGGTCTGTTAAACATCATTCTTCCACTGCCTCACGGACCCTGCACAAGTCTTCCCACACAGTTGTCGCCTTTGCTAACAATAACTAGGCTACTGTGCGTTCTTTGGCACTTATTTTTATGCTACATAATGATACTCGATAGACAAATAATACTATTATATTTCTTTTTCAGGAAACAGCATGCTGTATCGAGAGCCGACCGAAGCAAAAACAATACACACTACCTGATTGGAGATAGCACAAAAAGAGCTGCAGGGCGGCTGATGCAAGGACTAGCCCTACAAGCCTTAATACGTTGTTGTTGTTGTTTTCACATACATTTGCAACAGCTGCCTGTGTCCCACGTGTAGTGCATTGTTAATCAAATCAAATCAAACTGTAAGGTTACCCTGTAAAAGTACAAACAACACTTGGGAGAGATAATCCCTTTTTGGGTGTGATAGAAATTTCTCGTAATTTATAATTGATAAGTATAAAAAATTCATTCAGAGGAAAGGCATAAAAAAGAGATAAGGAGGAGGGAAAAAAAATATAAAGACCTGTGCTGGGATACGATCCTACGACCTCTGGATCTCGCAATATTCACCAATGTTCTTGCAATCATCCCGCTGAGCCATGGCGAACTCCGTACTTTGCTTGTGCAAATATTACACTATTGACGTGGTGGTTCGAGTTTCTTCAAAGGAAATGGAAAGTAACAAATGTTTGAAATTCACCTATGTCGTATAATAGTTACTATTTATTCCTGAGGTTAATCTTGTACGCCATATGCGACGTTTATCATGTCATTCTGTATTGCGCTTTGTTCTTCAAGTTGAACACGGCGACCGTCATTTGTAGCGCGCGCGCGCGCGAGTGGCTCAGTCGGTAGAGTCGCTGCCTCCTTGCCTTGCTTTGAGATACGTGGCTGCCAGAACGGCGCCAGTTCGAATCCCATGCTATGCTATTATTGTCATGATTGATATTGTGTGATTGACTTATGTTCCAGTTTCTTGTACATGTTTCAGGAGTCCTAAAGACGGAGCTACCATACAAATCGTTGTATTGTGTTCATAAGTCATCATTGCCACATGCCGTATACGTATGGCGGTGGCTCGTAGTCCGTGCGTTCGTGCCCAGCTTCATTGTATCGACTTTTTATTTTGCACACGACCATTGAATTGAATAATTGTCACATATAAATGTAAGAATCATTTAACAAACTCAACTAAACCTTTAATCCTGCAGATTGTCACTTTGAAAATTGAAGACGTGTAATTACATATATTAAATGTACAATTGTGACGTTACAAGAAGAATATATGCCACTTAAAAGGGGATTTCAGTAAAATTGGAATGAAGATAGGGAAAAAAACACTCTCCGAATATATGATGATCGTGTGGGGAAAATTAGTAGTGCAACTTGTAGTTGCAAAGGGTAGAATGTCCCCAACCCATTCATTCAGAACTGCGTAGTAATATATTTGTCAGGACGGTCATGTGACCTTCCCATGGTGACACGTGAGTCGATGTGTCAATCTTGAGTGTCGCCATGGCAATATCCAAGCCGGGAAACCCCCTCTGCCAGCGGTTTGTTACTTGTTGCCTAGGCGACCGGCGACGGGATCCTGTGGGAGAAAGTACCCGTTGTAAATCCGATACATATTGTCGGAAAACGATCGGCATTGTATCCGAAATTCAGAACCCATCGGAAAAGAGCCGTTGAACGGTCAGGAAATGTACATTTGAAGACACTTTGCCGATAATAACCCGTTCAACGCGACGTCGTGAGAGAACGCCGCTCATAACACGTCACTTCTACAGACGCAGTTGAGAATACTTTTCTGATATGTAAATAGCAGAAACCCGACCTCCCCGTGCACTGTGCTAGCATAGGGGGAGGGGTAACGCGTTAGATGTAAGTTGTAACGTTATATTTAGATGACATGAGATACATTTGCACGCATGTAACGTTACATGTAGTATAACCGTTACAGAGCTTTAACCTTACTAGTACGTGCAGACTATTATGATAATTGCACGAGGGACCCTCCAATTGATCCCCTCCAATTCTTCCTAGAAGTTTAACGTTACAATTTTATAATTTTGATTTTCAATGGAGCCCAGCACAGTTACAGTAAATCATCAATATATTATTAACAGAGAAAATAAACTTAAATAAAAATTTAACATACGTAAACCAAGGGTTCTTACTAACTTAGCCATAACTAAGTAACACAAGTATCCAAAGGTATACATAAACAAAACATGTGATACATGAAATCATAAACAAAGGCTGGTGTAAAACATTTTTATCAAAATCATTTTCCAGAAATGATGTCCGTTACACAGTCCAGGTCAGCTTTCTTTTTTCTGGAGGTCAGAGGTCATTTTACACATAACATTATGGGGGGGGGTGCATGCCCTTTTCCGTAGAGCGTAATCGGCCGTTCAATGTATACTTCGTAGAGCGTAATTGGCGCATTTTCCATAGGGCGTATTCGCTGTTTTAATCCCACGTAATGCGTTGTAGCCACTTAGAATTTATCGCATTTTAGCGTAATCGAGAGGTTTCCGAATTCAGCGTAGAGCGTTGTCGGGATCCCCCATGCAGGCTCTCATTACAATCTCTGATTTCTTGTTCCAGAATTGTCAGCAGCCCAAGCTAAGCACTAGTACTAGTAGTTGCCTGAATTTGGTGGAGGGAAGACTCAGGCCTGGGAAGACTAAGATTGGAGAATGGGGAAGCTTCAGGAGTTCAGTGTGGTCTTCAACAACAATGTGGACGTGTTCCAGAATGGACAGTGGGTCTGTGGCCAGGTTGTGGTCAATCTCAACGAAGCCATGAAAATGAGAGGTATGGATCGATCGATCAATCAATTAATCAATCAATCAATATAGCTATCAATCAATCAATCAATCTATCTGTAACACAAGAGAAAGGAGTACTACTAGTAAGTAACTCGAAGGTTGACTCTGACCCCCAGGTCTATCCACCAATCTATGTCAATCAATCAATTAATCAATCAATCAATTTATCTATCAATTAATCTATATATCAATCAATCAAACTATATATCTATCAATCAGTCAATCTTTCATTCAATTAGATAATCATATATGTAATTGTAAGTACAATTTTATAGGTACAGTCTCTAACTAGTAGTTTCTGTTCCATGCTGTCTGAACAGAAAAGTTCCTTCTTTGATGTAGGGTTGTCCTCCATAGAATTAGATAATGCGTTAGGTTAAAAATTAGTTCCTCCTTTTCCAATTTTTAAGGTAGCTGTTAAAATGGCACCAAGTTTGTATTTACTATATGAGGTATCAATATAGGCATCAGGGATCCAGATATGCCTTCAGATCTCTCTCATTCAATCATCCTGTACTCTCTTAAATTGCTTTCCAACCAATCACAGTAAATCCTTCAGATCTGTTTGCCTGTATGTTCTCTTCCCTTACCAGGTATCCGCCTGAAATTTAAAGGCCATGCTTATGTACACTGGACAGAGGAGCACGGTTCAGGCGATAACCGCCACACGGAGTCTTATTCTGCCTCCGAAACTTACTTCGAGCACAAGGTGACTATATATGGGAAGGGTAAGCTACCTAACTTACACTTATTTTTTTCTCTTTACGTTGTGGATAATGTTTCTTTCATTTCTCGCCTGCATGGCTGATACTCATGTAGGGGTGCGCCTGAAATTCCATGGGCATGCGTACGTTCACTGGACTGAACAGCATTCGACCGGGTCGGGCAAGAATCGGCGCACCACCACCAGGCACTACTCCGCCTCTGAGACATACTTTCAGCAAAAAGTGACGCTTTTTGGGAAAGGTACAACGTCGTCTTCAAAAAAAGTGTGCTCCTAACTCCTGCTGCTGTGTGATCTACTCTCTCTCTTTCTGCTGGATAATTCTTCTAACGTGTGCTGTGATTGCACGGATCTCGAGTCACTTTCTTAACTTTTACTGACACTTTTCAGCACTGTTTTATTCAATGAATCAGTATGGTGGGTTTCTTCCAATGTAACTGGGATGAATTTGCCTGCCAACGTTTCGGTTGACCGTCTGCAATTTTTCTCAAGGTGAAAAGGACTGGTTCTTTTGCAGCTAGAAAGGACATGGCAAGCCAATACACAGAAACTCTGGCAGTTAGTAATCATCCTGTATATATCAGAAGAAACTCAACACTGCCAAAATGCCAATACCCTACACTAGTAAAATCTTCCATGTTCAGGTCATTGACCTTATTGGTTTGGGGAAGAAGAAGAAGAGAAAACAGAGCAAAAACTATGTTTTCCTTCGGTAAACATAAGTAACGTTAAAATCTTGCACTTTTTAAACAACCTTGAAAATGCAATACAAATGTAAGCTTCTTGTCTGTTGTATAGACTGTGCTGACCTGGCCACCTAAAAAAAGTACATGCAGTCGTCTGAAAATCTAACATTTATCAAGTAAAATCTTCCACTAACCGGCTGTAACGTTCTCCACAGATGAGGGTCAGTCCGGAGACAACCCCACCCTCCCCGCGGGTCGTCACGTGTTCCCGTTCCAGTACCAGCTGCCTCAGCAGGGGCTGCCGTGCTCGTTCGAGGGCGCTCACGGATACGTCAGGTACTCAATGGACCTATCACATTTTGTTAACCGCAATGAATGCCGGTCAATCAACGTTTATATTGAACAGGGGTGCGTAGCGCGGTGTGTGTTTGTGTAGCGTTAGCCTTAATATAAGGCTTTTAATACAGTACTACTTTCGTCTACTATCACAACTAAATCACTCATGGCATGTAATGCTGTGTCAACAAAACTAGACGCAGCAAAAATCAAACATACCTGACTTTGAAAACTTTTAAATGATCTTTATTCTTAAACTGACCATTCTAGAACAACATATTATAGTGGGATTGTGTGGCGTAGCGGTAGCGTGTTCGGCTCAAAACCAAGAGGTCCCGGGTTCGAACCCTACCTTGCCTTGTCACCGATCTTGTGCCCTTGGGAAAGGCACTTCACACAACTTTCCTCACTTCACTCAGGTGAAAAAATGAGCATGCCAAAATGATCATTAATCATGATCGTGGGCATTAAGAAGAAAACCAAACCAAACAAACATTGCAGACATACAGTATATTATAGAAGTATAGTGTTGCCTGAATGACATTGGTATTTACAATCAATACATAAGAAAAAAACACACACAACATTTACATTGCATTACATATATGAATATATACATACTACTGCTATGAACTGTAAATCCCAGGCGTAGCAAGTCTGATTATACAGTCTGATCTGAAAGAGTTCTGATGTATTTGTTTCTACCTGCAGGTACTACCTGAAGGGAACCATTGACAAGCCGTGGAAGTTTGACCACACCGTCAAGAGGGCCTTCACTGTGCTGGACATGTACGATCTGAACGAAGAACCCACTGCTCTGGTAATTTATGATTTTGATACCCAAAATAACCTTCACTTGGTCTACAATGTAGCCTTAAAAACTTGCTCTGTTTATTCTTACTGAAACTCATATACATAATGGCCGGTCCCTCCAACTCTGTCCTGCCACTTGCTACATATTGTATTCCAACACCACAGGGTGTCTTCTATAGCACTTGTTACTATGACAGCCATCTTGTCCGATCATTATTTGGCAATGAAGAAGAGGAAGAAGAAGCAGAGCCTCTGAAACACTCAGCCCATTTGTGAATGCTGTTTTGATAAGTTCATGTGTTACTATTAGGAAGGGTATCCAACAACAAACTGCTTCTGCTTCAAACTCAAAACTGAAGACTTGCATGAGATGTCAAAGCACTAACTCAGGACACTGAACAAAAAGTCGAGCAGATCAGACTCAGAAAGTTTTTTGTTTTTATTTCACAGACACATTCAGCCTGTCTGTGAATGGTGTTTTAACTTAAGTTCATATATTGACAGGCAAGGAAGGGTATCTGACAAATATTTCTCTTCTACTTCAAACTGAAGACTTGCATGTGGAAGCATTACTGGATCTTAGAACAAAAATTAAACAGATCAGAGACTCAAAAAAGTCTTTTTTTCACAGACGCCGATGTCAGGACAGAAGTCTAAGATGCTGTGCTGCCTGTGCTGCGCCTCGGGCCCGATCGAGCTGCAGGCTCAGACAGACAGGACCGCGTACTGCCCCGGAGAAACCGTGCAGATCCGGGGAACCCTCGAGAACAACGCCAACGAAGAGGTCACCCGCGTCTCAGCCAAGCTGATTCAGGTACAGCTAGAAAAGTAACATTTCCAAATCAAATGCATAATTTTTACCTTCGCACATGGTCTGCCTTGCTAATTCTTCCTCAAACACATTCACATACATGTATATGGTGACAGGAGTCTAAATCCCTCCTACTATAAAATTGCAACATGATGTAACCCACCACCAGTTACCATGATGAGAGACAGTCTGGTGCATGGCATTGACCAGGTCAGAGGTCACTGTGGAGAAGAAGAAGAAACTGAGCAAGAACTGTAACTGTTTGACAGTGAGTCTTATGTGAAATGATAACAAAGTTACAATTTAAAACAAAGATGCTGCAAGCTAACTGGATACAATTCAAACCCTGTCTTCTTTCTCCTGTTCCCAGCATGTCTCGTTCCACGCCACCAGTAAGAGCCGTTCGTCCTCCAGTACCCTGAGTAAGACAGAGTGCCAGGGCTGTGCAGAGGGTCAGTCGTCTCAGGTAGAGATGGGCCTGACAGTCCCCGCCATCCCTCCCTCCTCTCTACGCTACTGTAGCATCATCGACATCGACTATACACTGGAGGTAAGTCTACATCAGTACTAACAGGGCTCGAAATTTCCCACTGTACAACTCTAGTCTTTGCCATTAGGAATAAGCAATCCATTACCTGGTACAATTGACGTTATGACACAAGTGACTCCATGAGTAGTGGATCATATTCATAGGTTGTGGAAAGTCTGCTCAGTCTGCTTGTGCAGTCGAAAATTTGGGTCCAATTTCTTGTGTTGAATAATCATCTTGTTCATAGGCAATTCAAACTCCACTGCTAGATAAGTTACAAAGATTACTTCCAGATGTTTCGAGTGACATATCCAGGGGTATACTATATATATAGTAGTTATAATGCTGAATTGCCTGTTGTGCAGTCCAGCTGACTACGATGGTACAGGCACGTTAAAGCATGCCAGTGTCTGTATTAATAGCATCATTGAACTGCAGCTGCCTAGCAGCAGAGGTCGAGGAAGACCGAAAAAGACTTGGATAGAGGGTGTGAAGAAAGACATTAGAGAGCGCAGCCTTGCCAGTATTGACCCACTGGATAGGGCTGCCTGGAGGTGCAGTGTGAAGACCAGTACTACTAGCCGACTGCTGCTGACCCCTGTGGCAGGGACAACAGCAGCAGTATAATCTAATCCTGGATAGTGAGTGTGTGAGTGAGTGTCTATACACGTAGATGATTACTGGTTACCTGGATGTCCAACATTGTATGTATCTCCCTGCAGATTTCCGGCCACATCGGCGGCGCGCACACCAGCATGGACATGAACTTCCCCATCAAGATAGGCTTCATCCCCCTCAGGAGCTACTACCCCTCACCCCCCTCCTTCCCCGCCCCCCCTGCAGCCTACCCCGCTGCCCCCTACCCCCCTGGACCTGATGCCGCCTACCCCCCTCCTGCTGGACTGCCGTACCCCCACCTGGTGGTGCAGCGTACCC